CGGGGTTTATTTTGGTGTGGGGGGGAAACCCGGTTTTTTTTTTGAAAAAAAAAGGCCGCGGTTTTTCCGTGAAGTTCGGGTTTTCGCTTTGGGGGAAGGTTACCCAATTTTTCCCCCCCCCTTTTTCAAGGAGATTTGTTTCGGGGGGGTTGGGGGGGGGGGGGTTCTCTGCAGCTAAGCCGCAATGACCTCTTTCTTGAGGCATGATACGATTGGTGCGTGTGTCACGTAAGGCTTGGATTGGAGCACGATCTGTGGCTCATGCTGGTACGCGGGCGCCGGGGGAAGGTGTGCACGATCCGTCTCCACCGCCGCGTGTGTGCGAATGGTGCATCGCGAGTTGCGACAGGCAGGGGAAGACGCCCAGCGACACCTAGACGGGAACGTTTTTTCGTGGCACATACGGCCGAGAGAGGTAGGTGGCTATATATCCCGGCGTAGATCCCCACCCACCCATGACTGAAGGCGCGGCGGGTACATGTGGGAAACGGAAGACCTATTTAATTTGTGGTCGCCTACCCTGGACCTGATTGTACGATCTGTAGCAGCAGCCTACTGTAGCACCAAATAGCGGGCGTGAAGGGGGGGGGGGGGACAGGTTTTTTTTGCCTTTGTGAAGGACGGTGGTGTGGCAACATCGCCGGTTGTGCACGGGTGGCGCGCACCGGCCCCACCGGGGTTCGTTTGTTCTTGCCAGGGTCGCAAAAATAATCAGTAGCTGTTTTGTTGTGTGTGTTTTAGTAGTCAGTCGTGTGTTGAGGTTGTCAAGCAGTTATGTGCCGGGCGGATTCTGCTGTTGTTCTGGCGGCAAAATCTAGGGAAACATGCACACCAGGAGACGTAAATAGGCACTTGCATAGGTGGCTATGTAGGTTTTAGAACCCCGACAGTTTCGTTAATTTCGCTCAAAAGTAGAGATAATAAGCGACTGCCGGCAACGTGCAATTGTAAATAACTGATGACCTACAGACGTACTTGCTTATGCACGAGTAGACATTTCGGTCGTGGTGCTGGGACGCGGCGGCAGTTGCAGGAATGTCTGGCTGGCAAGTGTGCAGCGTAACCGCTCGGTTCCTGGATGATGGATAACCAATTTAATTATCTACCGTCCTTACCGCGTCAAAGAAGTGTGTGTTGATTTTATGATATTATGGCACGGTGCCCTGATTTAGCTACGGGAGTGCGCAACATTCGAGTGATTTAATTAATGATTTTCACACGGGGGTCCGTGGGCTCGCACGGGGGAGGGGGGGTACGCTGATTCCGGAATTTCAGGCTTCGGGCGCAGGGTAACTTTTTTTTTTCTGTGGCGAGGTATCCGCGAAGAAGTTGTTGTTGCACCCAAGGCTAACTGAAAAAACGAATTCTCGTGTACAACGGACGGTGTTCCGGGACTATTCACGGGGGCAAATGGTCGCGCATGACACACCTGGGCAGTAGACACGTGGGTCATCGTTGAGGCTTGTCTTGTATACTTCTCCTTTGTCTCTTGTGTGCACCCGGTGCCCCCGCCGGTGGTTTAGTCGTATCCTCTTGTCCTTCTGATGCGCTAGGTGCGGGTTCGAATCCCTCTCTCTCTGGAGTGACGAATGAATCCGCATTTATTTTGGGCTTGGAAAGCGCATATATATATATCTAGATCATCGAGAGTAAACACTGATGATGAAGAAAGGACCTGCTGCTGAACCTTCCTCACGCTCAAGATTTGGAGGTAAGCACTGCAGGGGAAAATTAAATGTGTGAGGGGGGAGGGATACAAATCCCAATGACAAACCTTCCGTCGTTGTGTGACCCCAGCTGGTGTGTAGACTAGCGCCCAGAATAGCGACAGCTGGGCAGAAACGCACACAATGTATGCAACATCGCATGGGTTCATCCGCGATATCGGACGAGGGCGCACACACTTGGAAAACACCGAAGCCAACGACTTGATTAAGTCATTTCTCGCCCGGGGGTGATTTGTGTCGATGCTTCGGGTCGCCCTGATTTGGCAAAAAGGGTGTACGAGACAAATAAACGAACGACCATTAGTCTACCAACGGTGTGGTTTGGACGATCGCGCCGGGGTAGGATAACAAGCAGTCGTCACGTCGCCGATGTTTTGATCGTGGGTTTGACATTGCTTCCAATGCTGTTTGCTCAAATAAATGTGGACAAGAAAAGAGACTGGTTTGTTGCTCTCCAATTTGATTGACATCCATCCACCATGTGTTGTGACAGACAACACAACCGATTCGCAAAGAAATTTGGGAATGATAGTTGCAGATAATAAACATTCGGTTGTGGACTAAAGTCGTGGGTTCGAGACCAGCGGCAACCACAAAGAAATGAAAGGTGCTCCTTTCCCCAGGTCAAGAACGGTACACGACACGGATTGGTGGCGAATTGGGACAGCGCTCCTACACACGGATCGTCAGACCATGGCCTGTCCGGCAGCGAGGCGTCATGGAACAGCTAATTTGTGAAACAAATTTAAGTGTTGCTGACGGTAGTCTACAAGTATAATAACTTCAAATCAATTTTAAATTTCGGTTTGCTCACGCCGGAGTACTCGGCGCCATACCTCTTGCTTGGCCCTTGTGGAGAGAAGCGATCAGCGGTCAGGCGACTCGGATGAGAAGACCGAAACGTTGTCCGAGTAAAGGTGGGGTTTTCTCTTTGCATGTTGTGGGTGGATGTTGAGAGAACACCAGTCGGTTGTTGTTGTTGTTGTTGTTGTTGTTGTTGTTTCGTGCGGCTCTATCCACGTTTTGGAGCGAGGGGGGACAAGGGCGAGCACAGAGACCCACACCAAACCTCACACGCCGAACCCGTACAGCGTGGTGTCCCGAAGTGCCCTGCGGTGGCGCTTGGCGCCACCCATACCCAGACCCTTGCCAACTTCTCCACGCCCAGACATGTTGGTTGGTTGAGAGATTATTTGCAGTGACCGCAAAATTGAGTAGTGAGTGGTGATCACGGCAAAAGTAAGAGGAGAGAGGACTCACTCGTTGCGAATTGGAGAGCTTGAGGTGCATCCTGAGAGGTATCCTGTGGTATCCTGCGACGTCCGGGCTGACTACAATTGTAAATACAACATGTGTCACGAGCAGCAACAAGCGGGACGATCTAATTGGTCGCCAAGAATTGTTTGCGAGCGAACGTGATCGCGTGAATACCAACAACGAACGATGTTTGTTGAGCTGGTTTTCCGTCCCCTTCTTGATGACCCTTCCTTGCTGCCTCACGCTACCGCTGTTGGAAGCAAGTGAACGCGAGGGTCGTTGAAGGCCTCGGTTTACTCTTCGTCTGCCTCATTCATGCTTGTTGGTGCTGCTCCAACTCGCTGGCATCATCGCATTTCTAGTGCGACGTGTGTATGCGTACCTTCCGCCTTACATCATACAACAAGAAGAAGAACTAATTGCCGAATTAAGAAATAAGAAATAAATGCATGAACCAACCATTGCACCGAAGATTGGTAGTAGACGTTAGACGTTTAGACTATTAGACTACAAACTCAAGGAGTGGATGCGCGAGTTCCTAGACCTCCTACACAGCCGTTCAGCACAGCAGCGTGAGTTGTCTAGTTGTATGTACTTGTATGCGGCCTGTTATAACTGCTTCTTTCCCCGTAAACAACAACTACATACATGTATAACTCGCGCAGTATCCACGGGTCGTCTGGGCAACACACCCACCCACCCATAGCCGTTCGTCACCAATGGACTAGTCTATTAGTCTACTAGGGATCCCGGTGCGAGTGGGCTCGTGAGAGCACGGATAATAGCGTCATCAAGGGATGATGGAAGATCATACTACAATCATAATCAGGCATCAGCACCAGTCAGTCATACAAGCTGGCGGTTGTGCCGCCAAGCCCCAGCGAATCTCAACGAAACAATTAAGGGAAAAAAACTTCACCACAGCGCATCGGAAGCCGGGGGGGGAAGTTATCTCCTTTGGGCTCCAACAACGAACCCTATGTGCGGTACACATATGCATACGTACGTGTACGTATCATCATCGTGTACCAGGACAGATGGAACCGGGGGATTTGAGGAATCGAACAAATAAATGGTATTATACAATTGTAGTAGACTACTGCTGGTTTCAGGAGATTTGATTCCCGAATCAAAAAAGGTTGGATGATGGGATTGGGTAAAGACTGCCAAAGAATCGACAAACGACGTGGAAGCGTGCATGTACTCATCAGCACTGCCTTTGTAGTGTGGTGCACAGCCTCACTCGTATTAGTACACAACATCTCGCCGTAACACAAAAAAAGCGGCTCGGAGGGAACGCAAGACCGACCATCGACCACGAATCGTTGGGCTGTCAAAGTAAAATCTCATTAGATGCGGTGAGTCTGATACTCTTCACGAGTACGAATGTATTTATTTTCCTGTTTGCGAGGGAACGACACCGTCTCGCGAAGACACCATACAGGGCCGTAAAGGACGTGAAAGAGGATTCACCTCCTCTGGTTTATAGCTGCAGGGCCATACAAATAAAACAACAGAGAGAAGGCGGCCTGAGTGAGTGCATCATTTTCTTACACGTGCACAAGAACAATGTCCGCGGGTAGGTGGTAAACACCTCTACATGCTATGTACACGTACCAAAACCAAAAGAGGCGCATGAGCACGACAGTAAAAAGGGAGAGGCGCGCCGCTGCCACGTCTAACTCCTCCATGAGTCAGATGCACCCACCCACCAATACAACCCGCCCACGCAAGGCACCGACGACATGGAGCAGCCAAGGCGCGACCAAACGGAGGTACGCCTACCATACCCGTATCAACTAAAGTAGAACTCTTGCGGAGGGACCACAGCAAAGCATGACGCAGAAATATACACATGGCATCAACGAATCGCTCTCGATCCCCCTTCTACTTTATAGTCTAGAGAGCAACCATGACCCCAAAACGTGTTGCAAGAGTTCGATCAGAAGACCTTCTCCCTGCCTCTCCGCTCCTTTTCTGCCCTCCTGTCTTTGTCCAAGTTGACAAAACCGCAAACTGCGGAAGTTCTTACTCCATCGAGCACCTATGACTCTGTTCTAAAGTGCATCGTTTCTCGCTAAATTACTACATAACCGCTAGCGCCAACCAACGACCAAAGTCGATATCTCCCTCTCTCCCCAGCATGGGGGACGGGGGCCGGGACACCGATTGGCATCATTCTCCCAGAAAATCCCGGGAAATAGATGACCAGCCCTTTACATCCTACGCTTTTGTCGGGAAAATCCCACGAAACGCAAAACCAATGAGGACGGGGGCAATGCAAGCCGAGCCAAGACACGCATGAAGCAACAGGCAGCAAAGCCGCTTCGCTTCCTCCGCCACTGAAATCGGTTCAACTTGAAAAGACGAAAAACCAGCGAGCGCTCGCTAGGTGTCGCTTCGACAGGCCCTTAACCAGCATGTCTATGCAAAACCAAAACCAGGCAGGGAGCCCAGCAGTAATTAGGTACCTGAACCTCCAGAAAACGCATCGTACAGCCACCTTCCCAGGTGAAGGCGGATGCGTGGCGGTTCAATCACCGTGAACCCATAAATAGCCTGTGGCCCAAACAACTGAGGCATGAAAAAAAAAAGGAAGAGAAAGACGTCTGCGCAAGCCGTCATACTAAGCACACTTTTTTTTTTCACAAACATACACGACTGACAGAGCGGACGCACAAAAATTACAGCGTAACAACGACGACGACGACGACGAAGAAGAAGCAGAAGAAAAAGAAGAACAAGAAGAACAAGAAGAAGGGCGCTGGTCTTGTCTCTGGATCGAACGAACCAACCTCTAACCAACACCTGAACACCCCCCCATCCCCCCACCCCGCCCCAAAGAAAATACAACAACAACAACGTCAGCCCGCCAATTCTCGACATAGAATGAAGGACGGACGGAAGAAGATCATTTCAATCAAGCCTTCTTCTTCGGTGCGGCTTTTTTCTTGGGAGCGGCCTTCTTCTTCGTGACGGTCTTTTTCTTCGCGGCCGGCTTCTTCTTGGCGGCACCGGCGGCCGGCTTCTTCTTGGGAGCGGCCTTCTTCTTGGTCGTCGTCGTCTTCTTAGTCGTGGGCTTCTTGGCCACCTATTAAGTGTACATAGGATAGACAAAAGAGTCATTTTAAAAGTCGAACGAGGGTCCTCGAGAACGATAAGGATCACGGAAAGGTGGAAAAAATCGTCTTGCTGTTGTGTTGTGGCACGTCATGCACTTCGTCGTCGTCGTCTTCTTGGTCGTGGGCTTCTTGGCCACCTATGTACATCATGGGCAAACGTAGGATATAGACAAAGAGTCATTTTAAAAGTCGAACGAGGGTCCACGAGAATGATCGGGGATACGGAAAGGTGGAAAAAATCGTCTTGCTGTGTTGTGGCACGTCGTGCACGTAGGAGTCTCGTGTATATCTGTTTGTACACTATAAGTTCGTGCCGACTCGTTGTCTGGTTTGCTCATTGGCGCCAACCAAACGACGACAGCGCTGCGCATAGCGGCGAGACGCTTCAAGTCCTTCGCCGGCCATGCGGGAATACCGGTCACGAACCATTTGTTGCGGGAGGTTGTTCGACCGTCGAGTAGCATGAAAAACAGCTGTTTTCGGACTTGAGCAAGCCATGTGTTGCCCGTGCTGTCTGAGCTATTAACAATGGGGAACAAGCACATCCCAAACGTAAGCCCCAAGACAGCCCTAAAGGCCCCCGTTTTATCTTGCGTTCGTCTGCGGGGAAGGCAGGGAGTTGGCAACGAAAGAATCGAAACGCAAGCCCTTGATAAAACACGATGTGTCCCATCGTCCATTTCAGCCTACGTCCAAAGCGCGCGTTAATACCCAACCAGGATCCTGCGAAAAAAGGCTTGCATGAGAGGGTACCTACCGTGAGGTTGCGAGTCTCCGCACGGGGGCGTTGGGGTTGTTCAAACCTTCATTGCTCTACAACTTGGGCGACACCACTGCCGAAAAGGGTGGTTTTGGAATATTCTCGTCGAGATCTTTCATTGGACGTGTTTCTTGGCTTTCGCACCCTCCTAGTGGTGGAGCAATGAGGCTTTGAAAAACTATGACACCCCTGTGCGGAGACTCGCAACCTTACGGTATGCAGTCATGTCAACAGCAAGACAGCAGCAAGTGCAAATACACACCTTCTTTTTGGGGACCTTCTTCTTGACGACCTTCTTCTTGACGACCTTCTTCTTGACGACCTTCTTTTTCACCGGAGGCTTCTTCGCCTCAGGGCTTACCTTGTACGACGCCTTCACCTGTCGTCGAAAGAAAAGATGGCACACGAAGGATGCGCAGGCCGCAAGGGGGCACAGACAAGGAGAGAGGAGGCTGCTGTGAGACCAACGGCAGTTGAACATCGGAAGGGAACGCGACTCGTGTTGTTTATGTAGTGCAACGACAGCAGTACAGCTGAGATTGCTCTTTCGTCGCACAAGACGTGCACACAGCAGTAGTAGAAATAGTACCACACAAAGAGGAAATAACGTTTGTAACTAATCCAGCAATGTAAATGGACCAACCAGCAGTCTACTAGCTTAAACTGACTTCTGTGCGCACTGGTGGCCACTTCCACCGAGAGTTAGCAGTAGAGGGAAGAACTCAGCCTGGTATCGTAGGTTGTTGATCAGAATGGGTCCCGAAATTTGAAGGAACTTTACGCTACTACTAGTGCTGCTGCACACACAACGCATTTTTCGGCACCATCGTATTGTTTCTACACTTCGGCTCCCGCAAAAAAAAGGCGAGCCCGCGAGGTTACGGGGGCTTAACGGCCTCTTTTGTTTCTGGGGCGCAAACCGCCGTTGAGTTCATCTTGGCGATGCACTGAACGTCTACAAAGGCAAGTGCAGCGAGCGACGATGAGGAATTGGGTATTTGTAATATAGAAGTACAAGCAACAACGACAGCAGTTAGCTATGTAGGAGCGTAGAGTAAATAGGGCCTTCGACATCAAAAAGGGTAGGCGCCCCGACAGAGGAAAATGTGTATGTAGACCCAACGGCTGCTCCTCCACAGCAGGGTCGAACACGAAGCACGCTTTCTTCTCTTTCATGTCGCCAACAAACAGGTGCATCATGTTTACGCCGACAGCAGTACTTGTATGCTACAGCGGTGAAGTTTTGCGCGTGCCAAAACGTCCAAGCAGGAGGTACTACTACTACTGCTGTACGTTTTTAGGTTTAACAAACCCAAGTCGGATCGCGGCGGCACCTGCGCGCGCACACGCACCTCCCTCCCGAAAACAAAAAAAAACAAAAAAAGTCGAATCCCCGTGTACGCGACCCCCGAAGGTTGGCAGTCATGCTGTTGGAAAGAGTGGACGCCAACACGCCAACAGTTTTCAGCCTACTCCTGCCGCCAGGTGCTTGTACGGCAGCAAGCGGGGGACCGAGAACGGCACAGCAGTCGGGGTTTCCAGTCTTGTTCGAACAAATAGTTCAGTATGGGACACCAACGGCTTTTCGGTTCTGCGTTCGCTCTCTTGCCGCCTCCGCCCGCTGCCTCTTCGGCGATACATCCAGATGACGTGGAGAGCAGCCGACACCGCCGCTAGGTGAGGCGGTTTCCCGCAACGCATAACCGTTACAGGCGCCGACACCGGGTCAAGACCCGTCCGAGCAGAACCCGGCCTGCGCGACAAGCTGCCGAGCAGGCGGTGCGTGTTGGGGGCAACGCCGCTCGTTGCCGTTCCAGGGCCTGCCGTGCAGCTGAAAAACAGCTGTCCTTTTTGTGCGTTGTCGGGGAAGCGAGCTTGAGGCGAAATCCATTTTTTTCGCTCCGCGCAGATATCGGATCGGGGGTAGCTTGGCTCTATCCCGGACGATTTAGTTCGGGAAAGATACCCAGGCGCGGCTGAGCAACTGACTGCTGCTGTGCAGCAACTGCGCGATTGGTATGCTGGGTTCTGAGCGGTGGGCTGCTTGTGAGAACGCGGTCGCAGCATCGATGTGTCACGATTATTGATGCAGTTTCGGACAACAACGCCCGAAAAAAAGGGCACGCTGGTAGGTCGATGACCCTCCAACATACATATATAGAGCGCGCCGGATTCGAACCGAGACAAAAGCATCTAGCCACGACTTGGCCTTGCCGTCGTACCTTGATGAAGGTGCCAGTCTCCGTTCCCTTCTTCAGGGCGCCGCGCAGCTGGTGAGGCAGGAAGTTGAGCGTTGGGTAGGTGGCCTGGATGTGCTTCTTGATGGCAGGCACGGAGCTTCCGTTCCTTTCTTTCAAGGCCAGGATGGCAACTTTGGCCATCTACGACGATGCGCATGATAGGGGAAACGAGAGGAACAGTAAGGTCTGGGGCGGCGCTAACGCCAGCGTGGAGATCCGTGTCGAGGGTGACGAGCAGCTGAGATCAGAAGCAAAGGCAGGCGGGAGCCAAAATAAGACCGACAGAGAAACACAGCAGGACGAATTTACAAAAAGAGAGAGAGCCGCCCTTGGGATTGAAGGAAGGAAATTAAAATAAAACTCCAACGGGTATCATGATCACAAAGATATGGCCGGCGACCCATCTCGATCTTACCTCGCTGTAGGTCGGCATGGTTCCGGGAATGCAAATAAGCAGAGGATCGGCGGTTTGGCAGTTCCAGAGACGGGCGTGGCGCTGTGTCCGAGGCTGGCCCGGGTCAGCTCATCTGTGGGGGCTCCGTCATTCAGAAACGGCTGGTTCTTCGGCAAGCACATACCGTTCGCGGTTATGTAAAAGCTGCCAGTCAGAGGGGGGGGGGGGTCGTTGGTTCCGCAGGATTAGAGTCCCCTGCTTGCCAGACAACGTTTTTTTGTAGTTAGCGCTGACTGCAACCAGCCAAGGGTGTGCTGGTGGGCTGTGGAGAAAAGGTTTCCTACGTACGGTGCGTATTCATGTGAACAACGAGTGGCTTAGGGAATGTTAGAAGCTGTCGCTCCGTCACTCATCAGCTGCTTGTGGGTAGCCGAACTTGTGCATGTTTTCAAGCTGATCTGCTGATCTGATGCTCCTGTAGGCGTATTACGTGTAGCACCCGAGCACACAGGTACCAAGTGCTCCTGGCACACATCAGTAGTGAACGACACGGCGCTAGCGAGAGCTTTGACTAATGCATTGCGATTGTTCTGCAAGCGGGCGTCATCCAGGTCCAAGGCGAGTTGCTGTATTAGTGCATTTCGTCACTGATGGTAGGTCCTGCTGCTCTTGCGGTTGTAGTATGCGCAGCAGCCGTCTCCTTGAACCCAGCCAGAGTGCGGACACGTTTAGGCAGGCCGCCGCTGCTGTGAAACAGGGTGCTGCTGCTGTGTATCTCGTACCATTGCTGTGGTGGGACGGACGTCCGTTCCCGGTATACTTTCTAAAGAAGGGGGTTTGACATGAATGAACACACTACAAGCAGTATAGTAGTGGCAAGGTCCGGCCCATGTGGCTTCGGTTAAGACAACAACAGGAGTAAGATACATAACCGCTGTGACAGAGCGGAAACTGCTGTGACCTGGAGTAGGTACAGTATCATCTATGTTTTTATTGGACGTGACTGGTTAATCGTTGGCCTATGTTTGCTGGAAAGTAATTATCTGAAGCGAGCTGGCTGTTCCATACGAAAGATGTATGCTACGGTATATGGTACGACACAAGATAACACACCCCCTGGACCGATTTTCAAAGCTCGATTTATCAACAGCAGAAAGAGTCGCAGGGCCAAAACGGCGGCGTTGAAACCGTCTGGTCGAGAGCTCTCCGAAAACGTATCGCTTCGTTTATGCATCCTCTTCGTCGTGGAATAATCGAGCTTTGAAAATCGGCCCATGGGGTGTTACTTTGTGTAGTAGTCTAATCTTCCACCAGTTAATTACTCCTCGTGTACAGAGAGAAAGCTTTTGGGTCTCAATGCGTTATCTGAATTGCGTGTCCCCTCCCCGGTGATCGCTACCGAAGAGGTAGAACTTCTGAGTACTGGCGGAGCTCACGTTTTTGGTGATCCAACAGCAGTAATGCTCATTTTTTTGTTCAAAAAGTCCGCACTGCTGAGTGGTAGTTTGTACTGCGAGAGGTGTTATTCGGAAGTAGAGGCTTCGAAATGTGCGTAATTTCGAAGAGGCTGCGAAGCAGGTGCTGTTCTACACCAAATTTTTATTTTCGGACGCCCGGGCAAATGCTGAGTTGTTCTCCGGAGCTTGCTGGAAATGCCCCTAAGTTGGTGGAGACCTTCGTGCATCTTTCACCCTCAGCTCGACCCAATGACGTCACATGCACAGCGGCAGCACGGGCCGTCCCGGTCGATGTAGCGCCGGCTCACTTCTTGTTCCCCGCGTTATCTTGTTTCCCGTGTATTGTTCCGTATTTTTGCGCGAAGATGGAGCAGCAGACGAAGGTTCACGCGGTGACGGCGGCGGCGGCGGCGGCTGCTGCCCAAGGATCCGGGCGCCACGGGGTGGTCGACTTGACTCCGCATTCCTCAGCCGCCGTGCCAGCAACAAGTGCGACAGGGCAAGGGGGAGCTGCAGCAGCAGCGCCAACAGGAGGAGGAGAAGCCAACGGGGCGCCAGAGAACGGCATCGAGAAAAAGGCGAAACCGATGACGAGAAAAACGCCGGTGCCGCTGTGGAAAGCCAGGGACATCCTCCTGCAGGCGGTCAGCGACAGCGGCGGCGAGTCGGAGTTCCTGCAGGCCCACTCGGCGTTGTCATCAATATATCGGGGGATGGGGAGGGAAAGAAGGAGCCCCCCTGTCAGCGGCGACGACGTCGGGGACGACGTTGAGCACGTCTTCTCGATACGGCTAGAGGTGCGTTCGTCTCATGTGCAGGCGTGAATTCGGGAGGGGTTCGTGGGTGCCTCTCTGTGGGATAGATATAGATAGCTGCAGTGGACCCGGCGGTAGAAACGCACATTTCTTCTGACAAGCCTTTCCCCTCGCGGGAAGCGTATTTTGCGCTCCGGGGAGGATAGTCCACCATCCCCGGGGTCAACGGAAGGAGGTTCGCTTTGTTCAAATGGGTTACAGATAGCGCCCACAATTCGGAACCTCTGGCTTTGGCCGAGCCTGAGGTGCTATGGTTTCCTCTTGTGGACTACAAATTACAAATGGTCGCTGTATAGGCTTTTCGTGCAGCGGTTCTTAACCGGGCTCACAGATGGTTCTCAAGTTCTTAGTTTTGACATCCTGCTGTTGATCATCATTGCGGAGTGTTTGTTCATTGCGGGCGCTGTTTCCCGTTGTGGTGGCTGGCCATTCTCGGGTACAACTCAAGAGCGAACGAACCCTTTCAAAGCGTGAGGGTTGTTAATGTGAAGACAACAACAGCAGCAACAACAACAACAACAACAACAACAACTCAAGAGCGAACGAACCCTTTCAAAGCGTGAGGGTTGTTAATGTGAAGACAACAACAGCAGCAACAACAACAACAACAACAACAACAACAACAACAACAACAGACCTCGACCTTCTTGTAGGACATTCTATGGCACATGGCGCTGGCCTGCCGTGTCGAACAGACCTCTCTCTTGATACTGTACAGGAGGGTGTTGCTCTACTCCGGGTGTGGTCACACTGCTCGACATTCCATCCAGGCTGTGTCGGATGCTTGATTTTTTTTCGTATTTTTCCTTCGCCAACCCTCACGCAGCGTGTCCCTCCCCTCCTCGTAGGAAAAACGTTGTTCCTTGATTGATTGTTGGCTTGCACCGCGCCCTTGTTGCCGCGCCAACGAAACAAACCAAGCGCAAACAAACCAAGCGCAAACAAACCAAGCGCTGCCTGTTTACATACGCTGTTCGGAGATCAGTAGATTAACGGGTTGGCCGTGACACACTACAAATCCATTTTTGCTGTGGTATTTTTACCTGGTGCTCTTTTTGTCTGTCACTAGAGACGAAAATTGCGTTCCATATTTCGAAGAAAAATATAGTTGTATATAAAAAAAAACGAAACATAGTATAAACAAAACAAAACGAACGAGAAAAGAAGAACGGGTGGTCTTTTTCTGTGAGATGATGTGTACTTTCTAAAAAGAAGACGATGAAACGACCGACCTAAAAAACGCCAACAACAGGTGCTCGTGGACACCGAGGAGCTTGGCCAGAACGAGCAGGACGCGCCCCTGGCGTGGTTCGGAGCGCAGCCGCCCCCTCGCTCTACTCGCTGCTCGCCACCGAGCCGCTCGCCCGAGTTCTTGGAGGACGACCCGACTCTCCCCAGGTCGTTCCTGCGGAGCCCCCCCCCAAGCAGCATCTCCGTGTCGCGCGGCGATAGCGACGAAGGTCGCGAGGCCTGCGATGGCGGAGGAGGAGGAGGAGGAGGAAAGGGACGTCTGGGATTTGGTGGAGATGAGGCAGGCGCTGCTGCTGCTGCCGGGATCGCGGCGGCCGGGGTGGGCGCGGCGCACGTGCTCACGGGCCCGGGGAGGCTGGAGGACGGCGCGTGGGGGGAGGCGTCGTCCGGCTGTCCGGGGATGAGGTGAAGAGCTAAGAAAAGTGTACAGCAGTAGGTAGAAAGTAAATAATGAAGGGCAGGGCAGAGGCAGAGTGCGACTCCTTTTCTCGGTGGAGGGGCCCCGTGCTACGCAGTACTTTTCCGGGTACACCCCAATACTAAACGGCATGGCAGTTCGAATTGTTTCAATAAATCTCGGTTGGTGTTGTTGTCTACGCCGTAAACTAACCTGCCCCGGAATGAACGGGGCAGAGGCAGAGGCATTGTTTGTGCTTCCGGACCGCGGGCACAGGGATCGAAGCAATGTTTTTGTGTTGCGCGAAAAAAGGAGGTAAAGGTGAAGTGTAACCTTGTACGGAAATCGGAGCAGTGTTTTGGTGTGCGCGAAGAAGAGGCACAGGCGTACCTCATACGGAAAGCGGTCGGCGTTGGATAGTGTCAAAGCGGTGGAACGAACTTCTGGCAGTGCTTGCTTGCTTGCTTGCTTGCTTGCTTGCTTGCTTGCTCGCCGCGGTGAAGGGGTGGGAGTAGGGGTACTCATGTAAACGCATGCCGTATTCGTTAGACCGTAGACCTCGCATCCCTACAACCCCGGGACGGAGGAGCGATATGCCTGTTTTTCGCCGGCCCAGCCTTTGTTACTCGGGGGAGGGGGGGGGGGGGGGGGGG